TCTCCCATGTCCCCCCGGAACTGTCAGTCCCGTTGTTTTCTCCTCCAGATTGTTCATCCAGCCTGTCCTATCCAGACAGGCCTTTTTGCAGTAATTTTTAACAAATAGCATTTTCCACAAGAGTCCCGTTCCATTCCTTAAGTATTTTAGTCGTTAGAACATGTAACAACCAGTATTTTAATATTGTGGTGAAAACATACACCCTTTGAGAAAATGGACAGAATTTTAATCTTATCACTAAGTATATATCATGTTTCCAGAGTTGACAGTAGCAGTTTTTCAAATGTTCATTAATCTTTTTTCTCATTTTCTCAACTGGCAAGATAAAATAAGCCACGGTTGATCTTCCCAAGGCACTTCTTAGAATCGAACCAAAAACTTATATTCTTTTGTGAGTCTTCCTTGGCTACTAACTGAGCCCAGGACTTCTGCTTCAGTTATGTATTCCAGTCAAGAAAGAGTCAAAGGTTATGATGGCAGCAGAGAATTGAGTCTGTTACTTAATTCAGAAAGTCCCAGGTTTACTTAGAATTGATTAGACATGTGCATATTGTGTGGCAAGCCCCATACCTGTATATGAGCTGGTATGCACAATCATGCTTGATCCACAAGGTCGGCAGTGTGGAATCACCAGTCATTCCATGGGCAACAGCCATGGGTAAAGACTTACAGGCTTGGCAACTCACAGGGGCCGTTGTACCCTGTCCTATAGGGTTGCCGTGAGTTGGCATCGACTGGATGGCAGTGAGTATAGTTTAGTTCTTTTGTATACGGTCCGAATCTGTACAAACTGAAATTTGGGGACAGGAGAATGAAGCTCGTAGGCCTGAGTCTGACAAAAAGTCACAGAAGAGGTGAGTAGCATGGTCCACTGTAGGAAATGAAACACTGAAGTTTAGGGCTTGACACTGTAATGCCAGACCTTCAGCACAAGACTTAACAAATGAATGGTCAGTTATCTCATCTGGATAGGCAGTCTTCCTTGTCTGGTAGCTGGGATTGTGAAGGGGGGATCGTGTGAAAGAGCACTTTCAAAGTGCTGTGTAAGCACAAAGATGCCATTGTGGAGATGGAGATGGTGATGATGAGGGAGAGAAGCTTGGTCTGAAGTCCAGGATGTCAGGTAGGTAGCCTGTCAGGTAGGGGGAGACCGAGTGGGTTAGAGTGAGCCTGTTGTGAGCGATGTTGTAAGGAGAAAGACCATACCTAAGCACAGGGTTGAGGAAATTGGCCTGCCTGCAGTGGCAGCGTGTTCAGGCCCAGAGGCCACAGAGGTAGGGCAATTTGGGAGAGGGTTTGGAAGTCCAGCCTGTCAACACCATTGCGGAGGAGCATGGAAGACCTGGAGATCTTTACTATTTTATCGAGCTGGATATAGGAGACATTGAATCGGAACAAAGAATTCATGTTCTACGCCTCATTACGAGTCAGTAGACTGAACTGGATGACTTTTTTTGGAGATGTTCAAGCCAGGCATGGACACAACTCCCAGCCTCCATGCCTGCTGGTCTGGAGTGCTGGGGACACACTGCCTCCTTCTTGTCAAGCTGGCATTTTGGAACTTAAGCCAGGTGATGGTATTCATTGTCAGCCCTATTTTCAGACCTCCCTGCTGGGTCTCCCTGTTCCCCTTTTCGCCCTCTCACAGTTCATGCTCCACACAATTGCCCCCTTGGCTCCGGAGCTCCAAGGGAGTGTGGTGGGCATGAACAGAAATGGACAAATCCTGTGTTAGCCCGCGGAACGTTCAAGCGGCCAGCAGCCTTTGTAGGGAGACCACACAGAGATACTTTTTTTCTTCTTGCCACAGTAAAGTTGCAGAGAGCAAGTACCTCGAAGAGGTGGGTGAGCGGTAGGGAGTCAACACCCTTCTTTTTCTCTACAAGGGCTCCCTAGAAACTCTCCAGGGCTGAAAGTCTTGAGCCCAGCCGCCACTTGTAGCTGCCATTAATTCTAACTGCTGAAATCCTCCTCTCTCCCTCTGTCCCCAACTGGACACTCTCACGGCCACCCTGTGCTTCCTTTTCAGTCGCCACGAGTGGCCTTGCCCCTGAGGAGTACACTGTGGACATTGAGATCAGTTTGGAGAACGCATCCCTCCTAGAGCCCATCAAAGCTTACTTGAACAACCTCACTCTTTCAGCTTTAAAGAACAGCGCAGACCCAGCCGCCCACATTTTGAGCATCGCACTGACCACAGGTGAGTAGAAAACCTCTTGCTTCAGACCTGAAGGTGGGGAACCTCGGAAGAAACTGTCTGAACTCGTGACAATTAGAGCCAAGTATCCCTGGGAGTGAAGTGTTCCAAAGGGTCTGACTGATGTGTGGTTTTCGGACTTGACATTTCTAGGACAAAGACTACCCGTCACCATTTCAAATGGGGGCAAAGGTTTGTGTGGCTCGGGGTAAATATACAATAGGAGGGAGAGTGACAAAAAATGATGGAGGCAAGAGAACACACAAAGAGGAGCACAAGACAAATACCATTTATACAGCATCCTGCAATAACAGGGGTCTACTAGGGGGTATGGGGTAGACATGAAGGCTGAATGGTGTGGGAAGGAGAATGGGCATATAACTACAAATAAATATCAATACAAATAGATGCAAACTATAAGTCTATATATTTCTAGTTGTATACATATATAATCATTTATAGTTATATTCCCCTGGAACATTCCCTTGCGAGAGGATATCCATACATGGGTATTCACTTGGTTGCACCTATATCTGTGATCGTGGTGGAGCATAAAAATAGCTAAGTTACTGAAAACTTCTTAGACAACCAAACACCTTGAGGGAATGAGTATTGGACCTGGAGGAATCAGACCTGTTGTCTTGTGGGGACACTGAGGCCAATTGGCATAACAATCCACTAAGACATGTTCGACATCCTATTTTGGAATAGCAACTGGGTCTTTGAAGTCATGTGTGGCTACCTAGGGTGCAACCATTGGTGTCTGGCCCTGTCTAGAGGCAAAAATGATGATGAAACTAGAAGATATGTGGAAATAATTCATCTGATGGACTAATGGCCTATATGAACATTAGTCTCCACAACACTGAGACCGTAAGACCGAGATACTACCAGCTACCACTACCAACTGCTCTGAAAGGGATCCCATTAGAAGGTTCTGATTAAGTAAGAGAACAATGTGGAACATGACTCCAACTGATTTTTAAAAGCAGGCGTAATGATTGGATAGAGATTGATGAAACCCTTGGCACAGTGGTCCTTTCAGCCAAACAACAGACAGGTCTAGGAGCAGAACACTGGGCAAGTAATCAACCCTTTGAGACGAAGTGGTCAGCATTTCCTCAAGGACAGAGTTCAGACGGGTTGGAGAGAAGGCAGTGTGGAAACAGGAAACAAAGGGGAGAAGAGGCGCCAGTGATGTCTCATTGAGGGGGTTGCAAGTCGTAAGAGGAAACCAAATGTGCGTGCATTATTGAATGGAAAACTGATCTGCTCCGTAAATCTCCACCCAACTCACAATAGCAAGTTTCAAAAGGAGCTCTTCAAAAAGAGATAGCCAGGGCCTACCTGGCAAAACGACGCACCTCTTTCCCTTGAGAAATGGACGGCCACAGCACGGTGTGCTAGTCTGGATTGACGAGAGAAACAAATTCTTAGACACTCATGTGTATAAGAAAGAGCTTTGTATACAAGAGCAATTGAATATTTGAGAAAATACCCCAGCCCAGATCAAGTCCATAAGTCCGATATTAGCCCTTATGTCCAATACCAGTCGATAAATTCCTCTTCAGACTCACACAACACATGCAAAGATGCCGAATCCAGGAAGATCACAGGCCAGTGGGTGGTCAGTCTTGTGGATCCAGTGGCAGTGGAAGCATCTCAGCGCTGGCAGGAGTCTCCACGTGGCTCCTTCAGCTCCAGGGCTCTAGTGTAGCTCCATGTGTCTTCTCTACAGCAATGTCTCTCCGGGAGTGTATGTGTGTCCTACCTCCAGTGAGCTATTTAACTCCTTAGTGCCCCTAAATGAGGTCATCACGCTGCAACCTGATTGACAAGCTAACCTCCACCCCTTCACTCTCAAGTCTCAAATTAAGGACAGATTATGTAACTACCACACACCGGTTTGTTTCAGGTATTAAAAAACAGCAACCTCCTTCTGTTTGCATCATAGATCAAGAAATAGAAACCAAAGGATTAGAAGCAAGGTATGAAGCAGAGCCTTCCAGGCTATGGGATTGGCGTTTTTGATCACTTTCTTCCCTTCAAAGTCACGTAGCTCCCTTGCATCTCAGAGACCTGGTCAGGTCCATCACGTGGGCACATCGTATTCACAGAGGCTGTGAGGCAGGACTGCTCCTTTGTCTGCAGGGTGGAAGTTAAAAAGGTTGCTGCTTTGTAAATTAGAAAGCACTGACAGATGCTAAAGTGGCATGATAGTTAAGCACTTGGCTGCTTTTCAAAGGCTGGCAATTTGAACCCATCGGTTATATGGGAGAAGGGAATCCAGGACGGATGAGCCCCATAGGACCAGTGGTGTGAGTGGCAAAACAGGGAGGGTAAAGGGAGAATGGGTAGGAAAGAGGGAACCGATTACATGGAACTGTGTGTGACCTCCTCCCTGGGGGACAGACAACCGAAAAGTGGGTGAAGGGAGACGTCGGACAGGGCAAGATATGACAAAATACCCATTTATAAACTATCAAGGGCTCATGAGGGAGGGGAGAGTGGGGAGGGAGGGGAAAAATGAGGACCTAATGTCGGGGGTTTAAGTGGAGAGAAAATGTTTTGAGAATGATGTACAAATGCGCTTTACACAATTGATGTGTGTATGGATTGCGATAACAGTTGTATGAGCCCCTAATGAAATGTTTTTAAAAAAAAACAAAAACCCTGTGAAGGACTTCAACACTGCCCTGTAGGTCACGAGGAGTCAGAATCAACACAGAGGCATGAAACAGATCCCAGACTTTATTATTCTGTAATGGAAACAAGAATGAATGTTGTTTTTCAATAGTGTTAGTTAGTCTATCTATCCTATTTGGGGGGGTTCTGGTGTATGCTACTTGTACCTAGCTAGCTCCCTTTTGGATGTCCAAGTTCCCACAAAATTCTACAATTAACCATCATGTCCTCGAGCTGGTGGCTCCAATCTGATGCCTGTGTGGCTGGGGAATCCTCCAGCTGGGGGACGTTGATGCTACGCGTCCCAAATGGTTTGGCCCACAGTGCTTCTTTTCCACTGGGTGTCTCACAAAACGAGAGTGCTTCGGGATGTGCACGGGATCCGCCCTCTATATCCTCACCGGCCGGAGTCTTCTGCCTTTATAGTGATTTCCCTTAATTAAGGTAACTAGATTTAATTGGTAGATAGATTTTTATTCAGCTCTGTTTTGCTTCTGATTTTCATTTGGACACTGATAGTATCAGCTTGGATTCTAGAAAGCAAATCTAGTTAGCAGAACATACCAAGAACTCCGACATAAGTAAGTCCTCTGTGTTACTTGAAGAGTTGGTGATTATGGACACATGAGCATGTAGCTGGGAGCTTTTATAACATGGATTCACTGAAGATATGGCAAAAACTGCTTCCTGCTTTATTTTGTGATCGGGGCAGCATGACTTCAAGTCTTTTCAACTGCATTTGAGAAACTTGGGGTAATAACAAGGGTCGCTTTGGAAATGCAAATGCAGTTGGAAACTGTAATTCATCCTGTGAGAAAGTTTGGTCACTCACACTTTGAGGGGGTAAATCCTTCCTTGGGGCTAACTTAGAGAGAGGTGTAGAAAAATGGAGGTAAAAATAACCCGAGGTTCATGGACCCCCGGACCAGCAGGGAGTGCCTAGAAAGAGCTAGTTACCCTCCAAAAGGTGGTTGGTAGGATGGATGGGTGATGGAAGTGGACTTGCTATGTTCCCCCAAAACCAAACCTATTGCCAGTGAATCCGTGCTGATCCAAAACCAGTGACCTTACAGACAGACCACAACTGCACCATTGAGTTTCCGAGGATGTAAAATCTTTGGGGAAGCAGATTACCCCATGTTTGTCCTATGGAGGGAACAGGAGTTCTGACCACTGACCCTTTTAAATTAGCAGCTGAGCATTTAACCCCTGCAACACCAAACTTGCTTATTGACCATGATCTTCACGCCTGGTCACCCCAAGGGCTCTCCGTATTTCTTTGCTCATGGTCTCCTCCTCATTGTTTTAAACAAATCCCATGAAACATACAGAGGCCTCCAACAGTCTTTGTACTGCTTAGGTTTTATTCACTGCAACCAAAAATTTACATGGATATAGGGGTGAAGGTCAGATCATAAACCCTTCATTCCCTCTTCACACAAGTTCTTAGTGTGAAGTTGAAGGGGCTCTACTAGGCTGACAGAGGAAAGAATCACACCTTCAAGTCTCATAAGTAATAAAGCAAATATTGAGCAAGAGCGTCAAGGTTACCATGTGTGTCTTGCGAGGAAGATGGCGGGCTGTAGGACCAAATGTCCGTATCACTTCCTCCAGTGAGGGAGCTTGGACACTATGCCTCTTAGCCCTGGAAACTCAAGGTCTATCAGGTGCTGGGAAAAGCAAGCACAATGATGATGGCTTGTCATCTCGCTTTGCTGCTTATAAATCTATGTTATCTGTATGTCCACTCTCACATCTATGTCTGAGTTTACTGATATGTTTGAGCATTTCCACGACACCTTAGGGAGCATCTGCTGCTCCCAGGTGGTGACGTCTATCTGTCCCTTTCAGGTTCATGGCTGGTAAAGTCTAACTTTCCATTTTTGCTCATGGCACCCATGCTCCTCCAACAACGTACCTTACGGTCCTTGGGGAACTAGATGTTTAGTCAAAGAGTCCTTAGGTTATAGATTGCCTTAGGGCTATGGGTTATAGGCCCCCCACCCCAACATTTTCTGTCTCCTACAGATTCTGCAGATCAGAAATCTGCGAGGGGGCTGTGCTGTGTCCCCCATGAGGTGATAGTTGGGCTGTCAGCCAGATTTGCAAACATCTGAAGGCTCTGTGGGTGCTGGGAGACTCACTTTCCAACTCACTCCCATGGCAGTGGCAGGCTTCAGGCTTTCACTACAGGGTGCAGACCTCAGTGTCTCACCCTGTGGGCTTCTCATCGAATGCCAGGATGTCCTGATGGCAAGCACTGGCCTCCCCAGAGCCGGCGACCCAAGAGAGGAAGCAGCACAATTAAGATGGAAGCTCCCATGTCTTTGATAACTTCATCTCAGAAATCACATACCACTTCCTCCGCCATACTGTATTGGGCCTATGGACCAACTCTGGGACAATATGAAAGGGAACCACCAAAGGGCACCCTGATGGCAGGTGTCATCTTGGAAGCCAACTACAATATACTCCATGTTTAGAAAACTGTGTTCCGTTTATCATCACCAGTATCTGGTAGGTAAGTTGTGGCAGTTATCTTTAGACAGTGCTGCCCAATAGCATGGCGAAACATATGGCATTGCATGTATTTATTGAACTTGTCAGAAGGGTGACATTGAAGTAGAGTTAGCATTTCCTACAAATGAAAATAAACAAGCACACTGCTGTTGAAGCAATTCCAACTCATAGCAACCCTATGCAGCGTTTCTGAGATTGGAAACCTTCACAGGTGTGGACAACCTCATCTTCCTCCCCCTGAGTGGTTATTGAATTTGAACTACCAACCTTGAGGATAACAGTCCAACGCCTAAATCGTAGGGCCACACAAGCTTCTTAGGATTGCTTACAGGTATAGATCAACTGAGCCTGGGGGTTACTCATTGGGCTGCTAATTGCAAAGCCAGCAGTCTGAAAGTCCCAAGCACATCACAGGAAGAAGACCACTCTTTCTACTCCTGCAGAGAGTTAGTCTCGGAAACCACAGAGGCAGCTCAACCCTGTCCTTATAGGGTCACCATGAGCCACGATGGACCAGATGGCAGTGACGTGTGTGTGTGTGTGTGTGTGTGTGTGTGTGTGTGTGTGTTATAAATCAACTAAACCATTGCTGGTGAGTGGATTCTGAGTCATGGTGAGCCCAGGTATGTCAGAGTAGAGCTAGGCTCCAAAGGGTTTTTAGAGAGAGACTGCCAAGATTTTCTTCCACGATGGCTCTGAGTGGACTGCAGGTGCCAACCCTTGGTTAGCACTGAGGACTTAGTTGGTGGCACCCCTCAAGGACCCAGCAGGTATGAATCCATGTACAAATGCAGAGAAAGTTACCAACTCCCCCCACCCCACCCTCACCCCTCACTGTTCTGCTTGACAACAGTATGCAGGCCTGCTGCGAACGAAGTGTGGTGCTCCTGTGAAGCAGGCTATGTGTGGCCTCGGGAAAAGTGCCTCCACGATCTTACTTGCCCAGGGCCCGGCAGCGCCCTCTCAGGACACCATTGCAATTGCCTTAAACAACTGCCTCCCAAGGGACCTTTTTGCCAGCTGCGTGGAGGTAAGCACCGCTCACTAAATGTTTGGGGCTTTGAGTGGCTATGTGTCCCCAGCTCAAGCAAATGTGTCTCTGTACTCGGTGCACTCCGACTCTCATACTAGGTTTTCAAATACCGCCCTGTGCTTTGTTTCCACCAGATGTTACCCTGAGGATGTCCGTCAGGCTCAATGTGGACTTTCCGGAAGACCTCAAGAATGCCTCCTCTGCCCTCTATAGGTCCTACAAGACTGACTTGGAACTTGCAGTAGGTTTCGGCCGCAGCAGCCTCTTCCCCTGCGAACCCTTTTGGCCGAGCTGAGGGTATTGCATTCAGAGCGGACTGTTGACGGAGGCACTGCCTCCAGCTGTCAGGGTGGAGGAAGGCAGATGCTGACATTATTCCTAGACAACTGGGAACGTCAATTAGGAAAAGCTGAGATGTGAGAGTGTTCCATGGGCAGCACCGGGACCCTTAGCAGGGCCCTTCTTCCGGAGGGAGAATTGGTTCAGATAAGATTTGGTAGCACCGATGGTCTGAAATCTATGCCAAGGTCTGAGGACCTGGTTTAGACTAAGCGTGCTCTAGGAAGAGATCTGCAGCATCTTTCATGCAGAGCAGCCCAAGGCTGAGCACAGAGGACACCAGACGGATGCTGCGGCTCTCTCCTCATTTGCACTTAGCTCATTAGGGATCCCCACTTAGCCAGCTGCCTTCCAGTCATGGGGACCCCACATCTGTCAGAGTAGAGCTATCTCCATAAGGCTTTCAATGACTTGAATTTGGGGAAGCGCATTCCCGGGTCTTTGGGAGCAGGCACTTCTGGGGGCACTCAAATGCCCACCATTTTGATGAGCGCCCATCTGCTGTAACTGTTTACCTCACTCGGGGACTCCTTGCTCACTTAAGGCAGATTTAAATGGACTCCTGTAAAAAACAGACAGCACTCTCTGAGTACAGCCTGTGTGTCCCACAGATGAATGCATTTAAACCTCAATGTTTTGCCTGAACGAACTTAGTTGACATAGAGCCGCCTAAGTGAAGTGGCACAAATTAGTACCAATTGTACACAAAATAAAACTGACTGCCATTAGTTCTGACCATAGCAACCAGGTTTATGAGACTAAACTCTGTACGGGAGTCGCTCATGGACCACTCTTAGATTTCGGCACCCTCTCCCAAGACAAGTAAGAACAAGTGGGCTGAAATAAGAACTTCCCTTAGCACCCTAGCAGGCAAGCCCAAGGGCCATCTCCTGCTTCTTTGAGGGGGACACACACAGTATGACCTGTTTCCCTGGGTTCCTGGATGAAGTTTAATCCCTAAATGCTCTTGGGCATGAGATCATTTGCATCTGGCATATAATAGCTCTACATTGCATGGGAACAATCCCAGCTCATGGTACACGAACACACACACACACACACACACACACACACACACACACTTACATGCTTTAGAAGAAACAGAAGGTTACACCTGCCCAGGTCGTGGTGCATGAACACACACACACACACACACACACACACACACACACACACTTACATGCTTTAGAAAAAACAGAAGGTTACACCTGCCCTGGTACCTGATGTGGTGCTTTGCCTGTTATAACTAGATAGTAAATGTGATTTGAATCAACTAGAACGTGCCAGTGGGAATGGTACTCAGAGAAACAAAATAGAGTAAAACAGCAATATAAAAAAGAGACTGACCCAGGCAGTGCTGCAACGTGGCCAAGGAGGGGTTGTGTGGCAGCCAAGAGGATGCTCCTCCCAGACCTCCAATGATAGGGGCTTCAGCTGCTGCTGCTACAATCCAGGTCAGGGTCTCCTGCTCTCCGCAAATGCGTGAACAGCAGTCAGGTTCATGCCTACCCCACCTGGGCTTCCTTTGAGGATCTTGCTGAACTTCGTGGTTCTGTGTAGGATGCTGTTATCCAACCTTCCTTCCTCTGCTTCGGTGCTCAGCACCTGATGGCTCTCCCTGTTTTCCCTGCCCCCCTTTTGTTCCTTTCTCTCTCTCTCTCTCTCTCTCTTTCTTCTCCCTTCCTTCCTTCCTTCTCTCTCTCTCTCGCTCTCTCTTTCTTTCTTTATTTCTGTGTTCCTAGCCTACCTACCCTGACTAAATGTTTTGCAAATTTAATCTTACGTCAGCTTCTCACAGGAGGCAGACGGACAACTGGTCGTTAGGAATGACTTCTGCCTTTAAAGGTCTGCCTGTGCCAGAGCTATCAGAACAGTCATTACCCAGGGTGATTAAGAAGAGCTTCAAACTCTGTTCCAAACCTTTCAGCATTTCTCTCGTGCCATTTCCTGATACATGACACTCGTCTTACTTTATTTTCCAGTTCTGGAAGGGTTACAGCATTTTGTCAGGCTTCAAGTCAGCAACTGTGACAGGCTTCAGGTAAGATGGGTCCCATTTGCTCATTTCTATCGGATGGTGGGGCACCCAGCACATTCGTGAAGAGGAGAGGGCATCGTCTGGGATGTCTTGCTGCTAAAAGTGAAGACCAAGGCCAGATGGCAAAGGCTTCACACCACGGTGTGTCTTGTAGAGACCCAGAGAACAGAGGAGGGGTTGCAAGGCCGTGATCTTCATTGTAGACGACTGCCGCGTCTTTCTCCCAAAGATCAACTGGTGGATTCAAACCACCGACCTTTCAGTTAGCAGCTGGGCACTTACCCACTGTGCCACGAGGGTCCTTAAAAAAAAAGAAAATACTAAGAACAGTAGCCAACTATTTCAAAAAGAGGAGTCAGGGGGCTGGTGTTCATCGAATGCAGACGTCATTTTTATGTATGCTTTGCAGCCTTGGCACCGTTGTGTTTTAGGGAGCTCGGAATACCGAAAGTGAAGGATGATCGTGGCCATGATGCCTTTGTCCAAAGTTTGCGCGCCTGTCTGTTAGGGCTCTTGTGGAGCTGGGCAACCTGACCGCCCTCCTCCGTGGGGCTGCACAGTAGCTCAAGTAAATTAGCTCGCAATCTCAAAAAGCAGGACTGCTTCTAGGGACACCGGGTTTTTGGGGCTCCCTTACCATTCAGTCCATCGGGTCACCCTGACCCAGCATGGTCATGTGACAGCTGTCAGTCAGCTCTGCTCTGATTCCGTTTATGAATCCTCATCCGATGACTGGACGACTTTGTGGATGCATGTGACCTGGCTGCAGACAACATCGATGCAAGCCGGGCCCTGAACCATCAACTGGTCCTTGAAAGTACATTGATTTCAGTGAGAAGAACAGTACTCCTGGTTCTATTTGTCTTCTGCTTCCTTTTTGTCTAAGAAATTGTGCCCCAAATTGTATTTCTTTCGTTGTTGTTGAGAGTGCAGACAGTAAAGGCAAGTGCCAACTCCACAGTCTCCCTGTATCCCCTGAAATGAGTTTGATCTCAGTCTTTGAGTTATGCATTCATTCTCGCCGTACCTCCCACCCCACCCGCCTGTCCTGGGCTGTTGCTCCCTCATTAACCCAAACTCTCTGCCTCTAAGGCTTCCATCGAATCTTTCCCATTGCTGTTGCCAGTTGTTCCCCATATAGATCCTTCCAAAGAGAGCATCATGCTGAAGGCAGACCATTGTTTCACTAGTTAAGCTGAAGTACCTTTGGGATTTATTATGACTTCAGGAGACATTTTTGATGCAAGATGTAAAGGTTATCTCAGGGCACTTTTTTTCAGAGGTTCATCCACCCTTCATGGCTTCTGGAAGTCTAGAGTCTACGAAACTTAGAAATTCTGTTATGCTTTCCCCCCCTTTTGATCAGGATTCTTGGATGGAAGCTTTCTTCAAAGAGTCTGGTGCTGATAGCCTGGCACCATCTAGTGTTTCATTATCTCATGGCAAAGGAGGCAGTTGTCCCTGGAGGCAGTGAGTCTCATATTCCAGATCCTCTGTCTTGTCCTAGTCCTGATTCTCCTTTGTTCCCCTGTTGTTCCAGGTGAATAGAGACCTGTGGTCAGCTACTGGCAAGCTTTTAGGATCCCAGGCACAACACAAAAAGCTAGGAGAGAACAGAAAGCACGAAAGACATTGTTAGGCCAATTAAATATAATGTCATATGAAACCATGACCCTGACACTACAAACCTAGGACCCAAATCCTACGAAATGTTTGGTTGTGCATGAGAAGCCTGAACAGCTACTTTGGGGTACATTGTTGTACATATATCTATTCTGTTGTCAAATTCATAGACACTCATGTGTACAAGAAAGAGCTTTATATACAAGAGCAGTTGAATATTGATGAAACATCCCAGCCCAGACCAGATCAAGTCCATAAGTCCAATATTAGCCCATATGTCAAATACCAACTTATAAATTCCTTGTCAGACTCATGAAACACATGCAGTGGTGCCGAATTCAGGACAATCACAGGCCAGTGGGTGGAACGTCTTGTGGGTCCAGTGGTGGTGAAAGCATCTCAGCTCTGGCAGGGGTCTCCACGTGGCTCCTCCAGCTCCGAGGCTCTGGGTTCCGTCAGCCTGTCTCCATGTGGCTTGTCAACAAGAATGTCTAGCAGGGATTGAGCGTGTGTCCTGCCTCCAGCGAGCTGTTTATCTCCTTAGTGCCTCCAAATGAGCTCATCAAGCTACACCCTGATTGACAGGTTAGACTCCACCCCTCCCTCTTAATACTCTCAAATTGACAACAGATTATGTAACTACCACATCTATCAAACAACTTTTGCCAATTCACCTTTTTTACCAATGTGCGACTTATTGACAACAATGACAAAAATCACTCAAGTATTTCTAAACCTAATTAATACAATTTTTCATCACCATTAACCCTCCTCTATACCTGACAACCAATAATAAAGGCTGTTCTCTATACATTTGCCTGTTCTTGTCTTTTAACATAAGTGAGGCCGTAGAGTATCTGTTTCTGGTGATTGGCTTAGTCTTCAAACGCCATCCACACTGAAGCATAGTCACTTAATTCCCTCTGCTGTCTGGATAGTATCCCACTGTACAAGTTTTTACTACATTTTGATTCCCATGCATCTGTTGATGGGCACAGTATCTCTGATGGCATAGTGGATTACGAGTTGTAAGATCAGAAGTTCAAACCCACCAGTCGCTCTGCAGTGAATAATGGGGTTTTTGGTGCCCATACAAATTTATAGTCTCAGACATTGACAGGGGAAGTTCAACTCTGCCCTATAGGGTTGATATGAGTCAGAATTGACTCGATGGCAGTGAACTTGCTTTTGGTTGGTTGATGGACGCTTTGGTTAATTCCATCCTTGGCTATTGTGACTAGTGCTTTAATGAACATTGATATTCAAGTCTCCTTTTGATTTTCTTTTAAGTCTTTTGGGTGGAAGTCCAAGGCTAGGAGTGAAATTACTGGGTCAAATATTTCCTTTTTTGAGGAACCACTCCATACACTGTTTCCCACAATAGCATTCCCACCAGAAATGGATAATGGTTGTTTCTTCCCCACATCCTCACCTGAAGTGTTACTTCTGTTTGTGTTTTTGTCTGAGCCATGACATGGTCTCTCGTTGTGGATTCAGCAGGCATCTTTCTGATGGCTAATGACACTGAGCATCCTTGCTTGCGATTCTGAGAATTTTATGGGTTTATTTTGCACAAGTAGGTCCTTGATCCATTTTGAGTTTGGTTATCTGTATGGTGTGAGCCACGGATCCTATTCTATGCATGTGGAAATATTATTTTCCCAGCCCCATTTACTGAAAAGGCTCTTCTTTTCCCATCCAATGGAACTTAGCACCGGTGTCAAAAATCAGTTGACCGTAGGTGTGTGTTTATTTCTGTATTCACAGAATTTCCCTGCTAGTTTGTTTCTCCATCTGAACAATCCATCAGCATCTCAACTCTTCCAAGTGGGTAATACTTTACTGAACTGAATGGTCTGTCTTTAGGCCTGGAAGTGTGGCTGTGGACTATGAACTCAAGGCCACTGAACTCTCACCTGAATCAATACATAAAGCCAATGAACAAGTAATGCAGAGCCTCAATCAAACCTACAAGATGGACTACAATTCTTTTCAAGCATTTACTACTAGTAAGTGGAACTTCACTACAGAATTTTCCTGTAGAGAGTCTCTTTGCTGTTGGTGGTGTTAGTGGCCATAGCGTGGAGTCTGACTTCATGGAAACCTTTATATAGCAGAATAAAACAATGGTTTTGATCCTGCACAGATTTCATGATTGTAGGGCCCAAAATAGTTTTTAGAAGTCAAACCAGCATTGTGGAGGGGGTTGTGACAGCCATGAGAGGAGAGTGCTGATATTAAATTGGGGCTCATGGCTGCCTGTAGAGCAGTGGTTCTGAGTGTGACCCTTAGACCAGTAGCATCAGCACCACCTGAGAGATGCTTAGAGATGTCCATTGTTGGCCTCCCCTCAGCCCTACAGAGCAAATGTGTGCTTTAAGGAGCCTACTAGGTGGTTCTAATGCACAAGGAACTTTGAGAACCAAAACAGTGGTGACAGAGGGGAACTGAGGGATCAGTTGTAAAGTGGGGTGCAAAGCTGGCCTATGTTGTGTTAGTAGGTGGGTAGACCTAATACTACCTGGGAGATAGTAAGGGAGGAAGCCAATTGGCTGGCGAGGGCCTGGAGGGCTCTACCCCTGCTTCTTCAGTGAAGAAGATCCCTCTTTGGGAGCAATGGGATGTCCTGGTGGAGAAGAACCTGAAAGGATCAATTTTTTAAATACTTAAAGTGACAAAACTATGTAAGAAAACCCGAGGTATAAAATGGCAAGAGAGAGCTGCCGCAGAAACAAGAAAAAATGGCAGAATAAAAATCCAGATGGGGCAGGAGCAAATCAGGAAAACTAGAAAAGTAAAGGCAAGGGAAAACGTGGCTTAAAATGCAGGTTCACCCCAGAGGAGTCCTAGCAATCCCCCCTCTTCTCAGTCCCTAAAGCGACCATGCCGTCCAACAGATGCACCCTGACAGATCGCTTTTCCTTATGGCTCTAAAGCTGAAGGAGAATAGCAGACGCCAGTATAGTCAACCTTTAGCGAGTACCGTTCACCTGCACCCGAAAGTCCAGTCATGCCCAGGAGAGCCAATGGCCCAGGACACAGATGGAGAAATGGCAAATGCTTGGCTAGCTGTGACTTGTTTGTCCAAAGAGCAATGAAAGTTATTGGAAAGATCATTTGGCACATCCTTCTACAGAGGGTTTACCTCCATCCTGAGCCTCCCTTCCAAGACCAGAGTGTGATTCTATATGATTCACAGCGTGAGACCAATAAACAGCTAGAACCCCCAAGCCTTTGTGTTAGCAGCCAAGTGCATGTAACTGTCCTCACCACCCAGGGACTCCTCTTAGAGTAGTTGCATTTATTTTTGTAAGGCATTAATCCTCTGGTAATGCTTGATCAATCAGAAATGGGGCCACCTTCTGGAATCACTCTCAGTCCATTTGTTTTCAATTCCATGTAACACTGGCATTAATTATGGCCATTAGTAACTATAGCAATGAAAACAGTGACCCCGTTAATGAAACTTTCTCATACCCAGTTCAGTATATTACATTTATTTCACTGTTGTGTATCCTGTGAGGTAGGTGAGGTAGATGCTATTATCTACCTTTTACAGGTGAGGGTAAATGATTTTCTCAAATGTACATAGCAACACAAGGCTGTGTGACTTCAAAGCCAGCCCCCTCTATTAGATATTCACAGATAGCCTTGTTTTCTAATAGCTGAATGTGATTTTTAAAAAATATTTTATTAATCAGGGATCTGAGAAAAGCACGAAGAAACATTTCAGTGCTCTTAGATCTTAACTAGAGCATCATACTACCTAAAATTAATTTCGTGATGTTTTTCTTCTCACATGTGTAATTCCTAATGGATCCTCCCTGAGCAGACAGCTCCATACAAAAGAGGCATCATAGACTCTCCTGAGCCCAGGTTCTCTGATTTCCGCCCTACATAGTACAAGACTCTCAATACAAGACACACAGCTGAGAGGGGGAAATTGCACCTCAGGTAGCACGGGGCGTCCAAAACAACATATCACAACCAGCTAATGCCATGTCTTTATTTTTATCCATGAAAGGACAGTCTATGTAGCCATTCCCCAGAATGCTACTGTCAAAATAATAACCATAGCTACTATTCCGCCCCCACCCCCACCCCACCCCGGAATCATCTCCCGAGGGAGTTCTCAAGGCTCAAGTTTCCCAGATGAGGGCGTGAGACTCAGTAAGCTCCCAGGGTCACACGGTTGCTTGTGGTGCTGCACTAGGATTTAAATCTTCTCTGTCTGTAAAGCTCCCAGTCTTTGGGGCATGTGAAGAGTTGGCTTTGAAATAATAATTGTTCGCTCCAAGCAGACATTGCTATCAATAACTAATTCATTTCCCCATTCTTAAGCCATCAAAAAACAAACCCCAAAAATAGAGTCTTTAGGCAGCATAAGGTGTCAGCGTGGTTAGAAGCAGTCAATGGCAAAGAAACTTGATGTCCAAGTTCACCTGTGTGTTTCTTCATGAGTTAATTGCATTCCCTACCAGGGCTTGTGAAATCCTCTCGATAGCTTGTTGTCATTATTACTGTTAGCAGCCAGTGAGTTGATTCCAACTCATGGTGTCTGCGTGTGTGCAAAGTGGATCTTTTCCTGGGGTCTTGGTGCTTCGGACTCCTTGGAAGCAGATCCCCAGCCATGTCTTCCCAGGTGCCTCAGTGACTTTGAGCCACCCCTCATTCAGTTGGAAGTCCAGTGCTCAGTCATTTTGGCCACCCAGAGACTCCTTGAAAATAGCTTCAGGACCCCTATCGCCACTGCTACAGACTGTCCAGCAGTCAAAAACCTCACACTGCCACCGATGTCCCTCCTATGAGTCAGGTGGTAACTATGTGGACCTCCAGTGTTCACACTAGAGAACATGTTGGCTTGGTAAATAATCTCAACGCACCACCGAGGCTGGGGCGACATCCTTAGAATCCTGAAGGTGGAGGTTGTGGTGCCTGCCTTTGTTTGGGGAGGCTAACACCTTTTCTTTGCATGTCTAGATGAGACTAAGTTTTTCGTCACACCGGAAGTCATCTTTGAAGGGGACACAGTAACTCTGTTGTGTGAAAATGAAGTTTTATCTTCCAACGTGTCTTGGTATCACGTCGAAAGGCACACCGACATCCAGAACACCAGTAAATTCTCTGTGTACACCTTCTTGCTTAACAACATGACTTCAGTGTCCCGTCTCGTCATTGTCAATGCCACGCAGCGTGACTCGGGTAGGTGTGTGTTCACTAGCTTGTGTGAGAGCATGCCACCTGCTTTTGTTTTGTAGGGCTGCCGTCACAAAGTGTGTGGCTCTGAAGAACAGACATGGATCTTCTTGCTGTTTGGAAGTGCCACGTCTGAATTCAGGACATGGGCTTCAGGGCAAACTCTTCTTTGTGCTTCTCAGCTTTTCAGTAGCTGCTGGTCATCTTGGTCCTTTCTGAGCTTGTAAATGCATCTGTCTATGTTGTAACACATTGCCAGTCTCCCATCTTGTGTTTGTGTCCCTGTATCTAATCTGGTCTTTGGGTAAGACACCATTCCGAAGTGATTAGGTTTAGGACCCCCCTTCTCTAGTGTCAGGAACTCCAGCAGCATAGAGGCTTACTAAGTGGGCTGTTAACCGAAAGGTCCCCAGTTCAATACTAGCAGCCTCTTCTGAGGAGCAAGAGGAGGCTTTCTGTTCCCATAAAGATTTACAGTCTCAGAAACCCAGAGGGGCAGTTCCACGCTGCCCTGTAGGGTCACTAGGTGTCTGAATTGACTCGATGGCAGTGGGCATTTTGATGTCTCCAGGATGACCACAGTTGACCTAGCCAACTGGCATCATCAATCTGGACTCCTATCAACCACAGGGAGCGAGTAGCAACAACAAAAGCTCTCATTCTAAACAGGGACATGTCTACAGGCATACAGGTCAGCACTTTGAGAGGTATTTTTTTAAGAGCAGTTTTTGGCTTACAGAAAAATATCACCAAGCACAGAGAGCTCCCAGCTACACTGTGCTCTTTCCCTTTGATGAGCTCCTTGCATTAATGTGGGACATTAGTTACCATTGATGAGTCAATATTGACACACCATTATTAGCCAGAGTCTGTTAGGGCTTACACTTGGATGGGTTTTGATAAATGCCGTGAGCCTACCAAGATAGCATCAGGCACAACAGGCTCGGTGTCTTAATGCATTCTCTCTCTCTCTCCCACTCTCTCCAAACACAGATATTCTGGCTTGATGTTGCCAAAACGAAAATGCGCCTGTGCTATCTGAGTCAAGCAGCATTATTTTTGAAACACAATCACAGTTTTCCACATTTACCAAGCTTCACAAGTTCGCCCTGGAAACAAAAAAGCAGGCTTTTGTTTTTGTTTAGGCCGCAAACAGTTGAGACCCTGTACACTGTACACATGGAAATGTGCAATTCCGTGTATTTTGAAACATGTATGTACTGGTGAGACCACCATCGACCGGAAGCCCCTGAAGAGGTCTGACCTCTGAACCGGCTCGGTGCTCCTTTGCGGTCCTTCCTTCCACCTCTCCTGAGCCCCACCCTGAGCTCCTGTCACCAGAGACTCACATCTTCCTTCTTCGCTGAGCCTGGCGAGGAACCTGACATTGTAGAAAATACTAACCCATGGATAACCAGAGGCGTCTTTCTTTCTGAGCATCAGAAGGTGGGCTACCGACACAGACACATCTTGGTGGATCCTGATTTGGTCATAGTGCAAACCGTATCCAGCATCATCTAGTTCCCCCACCTTTTCCAATTTCTCTTCCTACATCTTCCATTTCCATGGTTCTCTCTTACTCGCAACGTCCCTGAGACTTCTTGCCTTTTCCTTCAAATAAACAAAAGGTCTCTCTCTGCTCCATTCGGGACAGAACTAGGAAGTATCGACTGCCCGCCCTTCCCGAGTGGTACCTGAGGGTCATTGAGACCGGCTGTTGGCTGCTTTGGAAGAGCTTTCACGAAACTGTCATTTGTTTTAGAAAATACGGAGTAGTAATAAGTGGTTTCGTGTGTTCTATGCAGGTGAATATATTTGCAAACTGACATTCGATATTTTTGAATACGAGTCCAGGAAAAAAATAGATGTTAACCCCGTCAGAATTTCGACAAACGAAGACATGAAGGTGATGTGTGACAACAGCTCCGTGCTCTTGAAGTGCTGCAGTGAGAAGAACGGCAACTGGAGTGACATCACATGGAAACAGGAGGGGGAAATACACATTCCCGGTGAGACGCTTACATCAAAGGCCCTTTGCAAATGGATTTTTAGCTCTGGGCCAAGAAGCCTAGGAGTTAAGATAGTAGTGGGAAGGGCGGGGCCGTGGAGGAAGAAATGGCGGTTTGCTTCTGGGCTGCAGACTGTAAAAATGCTCAAGGCTTGACATCAGCTCCAGTTAGCCACTCTAGGCAGAAAGCATGTGAATGTGGGTGCCAGTGCTCCGGTTGTGTGGAAGACCTGAGAGGGTGTGGTTCCGATAACCTAAGGCTCCTGGCCTTTCCGGCCTGCTGAATAGTTTGCCCCCACCTTTCTTTCCTTTTCAGCAGAGATCATTCACTGCATTGAACCCCCACTTGGAGCTTCTAATGTCTGCACCTCTTCTCTTAGTAACTGGTCTTCTAGCTCCTCCGCCTTTACATCAGTATTATCTCTCTGTGGATTGTCTCTGGATTGATCTCTCTCTCTCTCTGTTTGTTTCTCAATGGTTGTTTGTCAATTTCTGATCTTGTTGCTTTTGTTTTAGATTTGAGACCTTATCTGAAATTCTTCATCCTCCGAGGTATTCATTAATAGTAGCCCTGGAAGTTCAATGAGGAAGCCCTAGCTGCTACCTGAAGTGCTGGCAGCTGGACCCCATAGGAGAAAAGACCTGGCGATCAGCTGGGGTCAAGTTCACAGCCTAGGACACGAAGAAGCACTTCCCTAAGAATTGGCTTGGATGTGCTGGGCCATGGGTGTGAGCAGGCACAGACCATGCAAGTATCGCTGAGTAAAATCACACCAGCCTTCCCCTTGCCGAACATTTGACTGACTCCAATCCATGGTCCTTCAGTAGCCAGTGCCACCCCTTAACTTGACAGCACCTGGCTATTAATGACAATAACAGGAATAAGAAATGAATACATCAAGACTGGCCCTGTGTGTGTAATCATTTCTGGTCTACCGACCTTGGAAAGCAAGGTTATCTCCTTTGGTCACATTTAAATTTGAACTTGTCTCAGTGAAGCCGGCATTTTCCAAATGAGGAAATCAAGGCAGAGATTAAATTATGTATCTATGGTTCTCATGAGAAGAAGAGAAAAAAAGAGAACCCAGACTCACCTTGGATCTTGTTTCCAGACCACTATTTGTCCGGGCCATGCTGTATTGCTCACGCCTGGTGAACCCACCCTGGGTCAAGGCGATCTGGCAGAGTGTGGGCCAAAGTAGAAAACCATTTCTTCCTGGAATGCAGTGTAATAAGACTCAGCTTTGCGCTTACAGAATAATAGTATTATGTGGATGCCTTTAAAGTAGCGATTTCCTCTAAAGGAAAATGTGCTTGCACACATGAAATGCATTCACAGGCTGAACCTTTATTTCACAAAGCCTTGACTTTGTGAAACTACATTAAGTGTTTTTTTGGTTGTTGTTTTTGTTGTTTTAAAGTAATTTAATAACAATCTCCATGGGACTTTTCCTGAGCATGTCTCTTTTAAGAAGCCCGTCCCAGCATTTGTGTGCAACTTGAAAGCCCTCAGAGTGGTTGCTGAAATCAAGATTGATACCTGAGCCACTTCCTTGAATCAGAAGGAAAAGAAGTTTCAGGCATCCGGAAGCAACTGCCAGATGGGAGAAAGTTCCTTACAATTGGCTTCGACTTGAAAAATCTCACCCTCGGCCAAATGAACCCGGACGTCTGTGTGCAGATGCTCAGGGACCTCTCTGGGGCCACCCCTTCTGTAGACAGCCCAGTGCCCACTGTCAGCTGGAGTGGCTGAAGAACAATAGGCTTCCTGTCACAGGGCTGCTGCCCTGGGATGGCCCAGGCGGGTCTCTGTTGCACTTACCCTTGGTCTCAACACCCTGCCCTTCTTCCTCCTCCTTCCCGGCTGCCCTCTGTCTGCAGCTCTCATCCTCCAAATTCTCAATTCTCTTTAGAAGAGTAAATGCTAAGGTAGTGTGGCGGGTGGCTTGAAGAGACAAATGGCTGGTAATAGAGACTTGGTTGTAATCCTCTGCCGCTGTTCAGATAGCTGATAGTTGCCTGAGGGAACGACCAAGGGGTTGAAGTAAACCTCGTTTCAGAGATAGAATTAGTAGCCTTATTTGAGCGTTTGAAGGACACCTTACAAGTGTGTGGCAGCGGAGGAGGTGGGCAGAAAGCAAGTGTGGAGGATCCAGAGCTAGAAATATTACAGAAGGGTATTGGAGAACCATAGGCAAGGGGTAAAAATGTCTCCAATGGCAGGGCACTCCTGGCGGTAGAAAGTAGGGCATGTGTGTGGTCATGAGGTTGTCGACGGGAGCTGGTATCAGGTATCAAAAGATCCCCAACAAATAATTATATAGATGTGAAAAAGGTGGGTTGGAGTGAAGACCCAAAGCCCATCTGTGTACAACTGGACAGCCCCCCACAGAGGGGTTACAAAAAGGAACGATTTAACCAGGATGCAGTGGAACACTGACCAATGAAGCGCACATCATTCTTCTAGTTCCTGAGTACTTCTTCCGTGAACCCCCTCCCCCCAGCCATGACTCAGTTCTACCTTACAAATACGGCTAGACTGGAGCACACACACTGGTCCAGATACGAGCTCTCAACACATGGAATTCAGGACAGATAAGTCCCTCAGGAACAGTAGTGAGAATAGCAATATCATGAGAGGAGGGGGATGGTAGAGGCAGGTAAACGGGAAGGGGGAGAAATGGGGAATCCATCACAAGGTTGGATAGATAGCCCCCCCAAAGGGACGAATAAGAGAAAGGTGGGTGAAGGGAGACAATGGACAGTGTAAGACACAAAGGAGCAATAATCACATATCATTGATCAAGGTTTCATGAGGGTGGGAGGATGGGGGAGGGAGGGGATAAAGATGAGCTGATACCAAGGGCTCAAGTAGAAAGAAATTGCTTTGGAAAGTGCTGAAGGCCACATATGGTCAAGTGTGCTTAATACCATTGAGTGATGGATTGTTACAAGATGTGTAAGAGCCCCCAATAAAATGAATTTAAAAAAAAAAAAAAGTAAGGTATGGAAGAGGAGCTCTTTTGATGGGGAAGCCTGGAAAAGCAAGAAGTTGAAGCTTCGCTAAAAATAAAGATTCAAGAAGAGTTGACGAGTTATGAAAACCCTCCTCCAATGAAGTGTCGTGGTCTCATTCTTCCTCCCCTTAACAAAGTAGCAGACCTCCTGGTCCTGAGTCACCCTCACGACTGCTGTGTCTGAGCTCATTGTTGCAGCCACCCTCCAGGGTCTTCCTCTTGTTATTTTGCTGACCCTCTGCTTTATCAGCTTATGTCCCCTTCTAGGCACGGTCTTTCCGGATGACGTGTCCAAAGTAGGTTATCATGGCTTTTGGCTGTACTTCTTCCAAGACAGATGTTTGCTCTGCCAGAAATCCATGGTACTTGCAGTATTTTTTTTCCAGCACCGTAATTCAAATGCATCAATTCTCATTTGATCTTCCTTATTCCGTGTCCACCTTCCACAAAGGCAATGGGAAATATCACTGGTCGGGTCACCACATCTTATTTCTCAGAGTGACACCCTTGCTCTTCGACCCTTTAAAGAGATCTTCCGCAGCAGATTTGCCCAGCGTAATCATCTTTGCCGGTAGCTGTTTATCCCTGCTTTCCAATTGGAGAAGTGGAGGCACAGAATAGGTGATGGAGTTTGGGCTCTGAATCCAGGCAGCCTGGCTCCAGGGTGTGTAAAGTTCTCAAAGAGAAGACGTTTCGTTCAATAAAAACCCCGCGCCACTAGTTTTGCTTCTTAATCACTTGACTAACTCAGTTAGCCGTGACAGCAAAAGAATCGCTCATGTCATTGCAGGAACCCAAGAAACAGACTGGGAGTTTGGCTGCAGCAAATACACCGTTAAGGCCTATGGAACCCAGTGCCCAAGTGGGCCATCTGGAACCAAAGTTGTCTACACGTGTGAGTTCATCAGCCTCCACGGGGCCAGAGGCAGTAAGAACATACAAGTGACTTTCACCTCTGTGGGTAAGGGCTCTTTCACTAGAGTTTTTAAGTCATAAACATGCTGTCTCCTTAAGCAAAATCTGCCAAAGAACTGGAAATATCTCTGAGCCAAATGAAGTGGGGCCTTTCCTGGAAATGAGCTTTCGCTTCATTGGAGTCTTTTCTACAATGATAAGAGTCAGGGAAGGTGCCCTGGCACAGTGGTTAACCATGTGGCCTCTAACCAAAAGGTCTGAACCCACCAGCCACACGAAGAGAGAAAGACGTAGCGGTCAGCTTTGGTAAACCCCACAGCCTTGGAAACCCCATGGGGCAGTTCCACGCTATTCTGTAGGGTTGTTGTCAGTTGCAGTTGACGCTGAGGGATTTGTCTTAGTTTGGGTTCAAGAGTAGGAGTGGGGAGAAATGGCTGCAGGAAACACCACCAGTCTTCTCGTCATCGGGCCGAAGTGGACTGGTTGGCAGTTTCCCACTCACAGTAGTCCTAGTTCTGATTGAATGTATTATTAACTTAAACGAATGCCCTTACTTCCTCCTTTTCTCCTCCCATAATCCCTTTCTTCCTCCCTTGTGTTTCAACTGCCTGGTTTCCTCTTCCACCGACCTCACCTCTACCCATGATCTCTTATCTCCCATTTCAACTATTCTACAGAAAACCCTAGAGGAAGACTCCCTAGTTTGATACGTGGTGGATATTTTACATATGGAACAAGGATTGTTCTGATCTTTCCATTAATTCAAATGTTTGCACTGCCATCAGGTTGACTTTGTCTCGCATTGACCCTTTGGTCAGAGACGAACCGACCCTTTGGTTTCCAAGACTGGAAATCTTGATAGCGGCGGAGAGTCTCCTCTTTCTCCTGCAGCAGCGTGACGGCTAAGGTCCAAGAGCTGCCCGTGGTCAGCAGGCTCAATGTTACACTCCCAGAGTTCCTAATTCAGTGCACACCTTTTAGCTCATAAAGCATTATACATTCACTTCTCTCTGCTACAATGGGAGAGTCAAACTTGCTTTTCCACCCACCTTTAAAAATGAACAATTCAGATAAACTATTAGACCCCATTTGTACAATTTCGACAAAGGATTTTTATAAGAAATGTTTGCTTCTCTTGTTCATATTTTCTGTTATTGTTTGTGTTCTTAGCAAACATAAAAATTAGGTTTATCTGAAAACATAATGGCCTGGGAAAAGCCCATGGGTATTTTGAGCAGTTTGCAATTTTGTATAGCAAAAGCAATTTTATTCCCTTCCACATTTAACCCTGGAAGTTGTGTTGACTATGTGGGCGTGGGGGCATATTTAATGTTTGCTGAAAGCCACTGCTTTGATTTGGGACCTCCATGGGGAATCATGAGAACCAGATTGTGGTTCCATGAGCCTTTTTCTGCCCCCAGCTAACCTTTGAAGAGCCTAGTTCAAGGTTCCCAGCCCGAGAGGGCGATGAGAGGAGCCTGCGTGACCATGCTGACGTGCCTTGGGCTGTGTCCGAGCCTTTGAATCCCAATTTCTGAAGGAAATTGTGGAAATCCATGATTTCTTTATATATCGATTAAATGTATTATTAATTTATACTAAGAATAGGATTTTACAGTGATTGAGGAAGGCAGGCTTAAGAAGCCATTTATCTCTAGACGACAGAAGTGAATGGCATTTTGAAATGTCAACTCTGTAAAAAGATATGATCTCAGAGAAGAGGAAGCTAGACCCAGACCAAAAATGAATGGGCCTTTATATAAGCTTTGATGTTTCTGAGGGTCTCTGTTAAGATTCCCGATGCATAATTCCTCAGGAACCAATGTGAAGAGAAACTTCTCAGAGGGACAGCTAGAGAGTGACTTATCCACAGAATGTCTGCACACCCCAATTCTCCTCAGCCTGGGCAGTACCCTGTTTCATCCCTCTACATAAAGGAGAGCCCCAGAAATCACCCATCTGCTCATTAAAACTCACTCACTGTCATGGAGTCAATGCTAACTCATAGCGACCCCCCTGTGGGTTTCTGAGACCGTAACTGTTTACTGGAGAAGAAAGCCCGGACTTTCTCCCGCTGCGAGGTGTGTGGCTTCAAACTGCTAATCGTGCAGATCACAGCCTGATGGGTAACCACTGTACCACCAGGGCTCCGTGTGTTGCTTGTGAGGAAGTCATTATTAAACACTGATTGTGTACTAGATCCAACACACGGAAACCAAGAAGACAGCAGTACCAGCCCTTGAGGCCACCCATTTCTATGGAAGGCACCGAATGAATGAAAACGTAACATGGCATGGTATTACTATGAACGAGGATTTGTGTCGAGTTGACAATGAAGCTGCTATGAGAACTGAGCAGTTTATTCTGCCTTGAGGTGTCATAGCAGAAGTTGGAGGGGAACTTGGGTTAAGTCAACCTCCCTAAGTTTGCAACCTTTTGCCCTACTGACCATCAGGAGATAATTCGAGCCACAAAAGGGAAGTGCACGAGTTCCTAAGGCATGTGATGGACATGAGTACAGTTCAGAGCACCACCGGGAACAGCCTAGAAACGAGTAAAGCCCAGGAGCGTCCAGGTACCAATCCCATGTTGACAGAAGTAGAGTCAGGATGGCCAATTGTTTCTGTCTCTGTCTTAAAGGTCATTCCTCTGTTGAGATCACCAGAAAGACTAAACCTTGGACTGGTTGCCAGTTTTGTTTTGTCTGTTTTGTTTGCATTCTTTCAGCCAACCTAACAATAACCCCGGACCCAATTTCTGTTTCTGAGGGACAAAACTTTTCGATAAGATGCTCCAGTGATGTGAGTTACTATGATGAGGTGTACTGGAACACTTCTGCTGGAATTAAAATATATAAAAGGTTTTATACCACGTGGAGGCATTCTGATGGAGCAGAATCCATACTGACAGTCAAGACTTCCACCAGGGAATGGAATGGTGAGTGGACCACCTAGAAACACAGACTACAGTTCATATTCAGGGAGGGCCTGCGCCGGGACACTTCTTCACCAGCAATAACTTATGTCAGCACATTTATTTCAACAATTATCCGAGAGAAGGAGCTGAGGATCAGAAACAATAAGCAGTATGCCTAGACTTCTTGTTGTTGCTAGGTGCCGTAGAATAGGTTCTGACTCATCACCACCCCTAGCTAGGCACAATGCTAGAAGGAAACACTACCCAGTCTTGCCTCACAATCTTGAGCCCATTGTAGCAGCCACTATGTCAGTACATCTCATTGGAGGTCTTCCTGTGTTTTCCTGACCCTCCACTTTACCAAGCATGATATCCTTTTCCAGGGACTGCCTTTGAAATAGCTCCCCCAAGTACATGAGGTGAAAGAAACCTTCTCGTCCTCCCTTCTGAGGACAGTTACAACTATAATTTTACAAAACAGATTTGCTTGTTCTTCTGGCAGTCCATGGTATATTTAGTATTCTTTACCAACACCATAATTCAAAGGCAGATGTTTTCTTTCAATATTCCTTCTTTGTCCACAAATATGCATCTCTTCCGGTCCATTCGTCAGATCATCCAAATGTTTTCCAAATGTCTTGGCTTTCATGGGTAAATGCATCCAGTGGCGTGTCTATTAGGATGTCTCAATTGGTATTCTATAACTGTCTGGGGTTTGCGTTTGTCACTAATGCTTTCAGTGCTTATTCAAAACCATCATCATTCTCCTATGCTGGCTCCAGAAATGGGTGAATATTGATCATCACATAATGACTGTATATTCCTTCCAGTTTTGTTTGCTGTTTTCTGTGTCATCTACTCTTTTTCCCCCAGAGTCATTCGGTCTCACACTGTGAGGCTGGGTTTGTCCTTCAGTTTGCGGCTTGGTCAATCCCAAGAGTATTCTTTTCTTTGGGTTTTCTAAGTCCAACTCTTTGCACAACTCATTCTAGTACTTTATCTTCTCAAGCCGCCCTTTGGACTCATCTGTGCAGCTCTTTTACTTCATGATTCTTTCCATTTGCATTCTTATGTTCAAGGGCAAGTTCCTGCGTTTCTTCTGATATCCATCTTGGTCTTTTCTTTCTTCCTGTCTCTTTAATGACCTTTTGATTGTTCCATGTATGATATCCTTGATGTCATCCCACAACAAGCCTGATTTTTGGTCATTAGTGTTCAATTTGACAAGTCTATGCAAGAGACGTTCTCTAAATTCAGGTGGGTTCCACTCAGGGTTATACTTTGACTCTCGTGGACTTATTGTAATTTTCTCCAGCTTGAACCTGAACTTGTTTATGGGCAATCGATGGTCAATTCTACAGTCAGGCATTGGTCTTGTACAAATTGATGATATAGTGAACTACATCATCATCTCTTTCCAGATGTGCAGTAGTCGATTTGATTCCTGTGTTTTCCATCTGTGAGGTCCGTATGTATAGTTTGAATTTATATTGCATTTGAGTGTTAGTCCGGATAGACTAGAAAAACAAATTCGTAGACACATATGTGTGTAGGAAAGAGTTTTATGTACAAGAATAATTGAACATTAAGAAAACATCCCAGCCCAGTCCAGATCAAGTCCATAAGTCCAATATTAGCCCATATGTCCAATACCAATTGATACAGTCCTCTTCAAACTCATGAAACACAAGCAATGATGCCAAATGCAGGATGATCACAGGCCAGTGGGTGGAAAGTCCTGTGGGTCCCGTGGCAGTGTAAGGATCTCAGCACTGGCAAGGATTTTCCAGTGGCTTCTCCAGGTCAGGGCACTAGTATAGTCCCATGTGTCTTGTCAGCTGCAATGTCTCCCAGGGAATGAGCTGAAACAATGAGAGAGAGAGTGTGTGTCTACCTCCTCCAAGGGGGAATACAGGAGTTTCCAGAATTCTCAGGAGAAGGCCATACCCACACAGAAGCCTCATTGACTATGACCTGATTGACAAGCTAGACTCCACACCTTCACTCTTAATCCTCTCAAATTGACAAATGATTATGTAACTACCACAATTTGCAATAAAAGGTATTTAATGAAGAAGTTGCTGGTGTTGCAAAACTCTATAATGTCATCTCCACCATTTTTTTCTAACACCAAAGCCATATTTTCTGGCTACGGTATTTTCTTATTTGTTTTCAACTTCAGAATTACAATCACTAGTAATTACCAATGCATCTCAATTGCATTTTTGGTCAATGTCAGACTGAAGCAGCTAGTAAAATTCTTTACTGTCTTCATTTTTGGAATTTTTGAGTAGTGCAAAATTTGAATAAGAGAAATGCTATAGTAATTGGTCTTCTTCATAGACATATGGATTATATTATCATTGACAGTGTTGTACTTTAGGAAAGATCTTTGATTTCTTCGTTCATGACAAACATGGTGCCATTCCAAATCTATTTGTTACTCATGACAGAACAGATCATATGATTGTCGGATTCAAAATGACCAACATCAATCCGTTCAACTCTCTAATGACTAGGATATGGATCACCATGCATTTCATTTCATTGCTAGATTCACACTTCATATATTCCACATTTTGGTGATTCATGGATGGCTGTGATGTTTCTTCACTCAGTGCTTCACTCCAGCCACGTCACTATGTGTGATTCTACTTTAGAAGATGGTTTTTCTCCAGTCATATAGTGAGGGCCTTCTGATCTGAGGGGTTCATCTTCTGATGCTCTATCTGGCAAGGTCTTCCTGATCTCAGATGGTTTCCACTGTTATTTTTAAGAAGTAGATCCTCGGGTCCAGGTCCCCAACATTCTATCAGACCAACAACTCTCCTCAAAGAAATTCCAATCACAATACACACAAATTACCATTTATGCCCTGGATTGGTGGCAGAGTCTTGGCTTAGGTTGAGGAACCTGGTTTGAAACTCAGTTCCACGCCTAACAAGCTGTTCGGTGACCTTTGTTCAACATTGACATCTACATGGCCATGGATTAATTTTTCAAACAGAGACTTCAGGTGAAGAGCTGATCAAGCATTTTCTCCCGCAATATTCAGGAAGTTGTATTGTGTCTTTGAACGGACTTCGCGGGGAGCTTTTCCTCCTCTTAGCCTTCTCAGAAAATACCTTGGCTGGGTGGTTATTTCATTGTATCTTGTGTTTGCTTCCTTCCACTCAGGAACCTATCACTGTATATTTAGGTATAAAAATTCATACAGTATTGCCACCAAGGATGTCATTGTTCATCCACTGCCTCTTCAGCCGAACATCATGATTGATCCTTTGGAAGTTGCTATTTCATGCAAAGATTCCTACACCTTCCAGTGCTGCATAAAGGAGCATGAAGACTACAAAGTGACTTTCCAGAGGGATTCCTTTTTCTTTCCTGCTGGTGAGAAGACAACTCTCGATTTGTCTGGGTAATCTTATTTCACATGGGTGGAGTCTAAAAGTTCACCTTAAAATAGAGAGGTAAAACACAAAGCAGGCAGAGGGCAGGATCAGAAACAGAATGCAAATGAGCAGAATCCCATGAGCCTTTGTTAGCTTCTATTCTGCACTGGCTTACGGATTCATTTCGGAAGCTGTGGGAGCGTTGAAGGCAGTATTGAGACACCTTTACAAAATTCCCACTTTCCTAAGATGGCAAACCAGACATAGCCTCATCGTTCCATCCTTTGGGAAACAACTAGACAGCCTAGAAAAATAGCCCCCAAGGGGCATTTAAATCCACAGCTGAGCAGACAAGAAAATAAGAGAAGTAACCAAGTGCCAAAAAGATTAAGGGAAGGAAAAAATAGACACGTGTGCTTTGTCTGACGATGGGACCTCTGACTTTGTCATATTAGAGGTGCTAACGGTCCTCACCTAAGCAGCGCACTCCCTCCAGGGTGCACGATGTCAGGGTCTTTGCTGGGTTTCATACTCACGGAGAAAGTAGCTCAGGAAAGCAAAGTCTACTGTGGGGAGTTAGATCATGGTCTCCTCTCTAGATGGGAAAATGTTTCCTTGAGAATTCCAACTGCCCTGCCCTCACCAAAGCTTCAGGATTCAATTTATCCTTCCTATGCGATTCAGGAGACTGAGATAGTACTGTGACATGGGCGATGAGTAACAGCTGGGAAAAATAACTTTTAATCCTCACTGATAAGTGGTACCCGTAATCTGGATCTCTCATAATTCCCACAAAGGTTGACCAACGATAAACCCATAACCCCAAATCTCAAAGCCTACAACACCCTCATAGAGGTCTTAAATCTTGCTTATTCTCTCAATAGCTCTTCATTGAGGGGCTTCTTAATGCAAAGCATCATATTAGACAATGAACAGGGAGGGAAAACAAACTTGGGCACATATGTTACCGTCCAGATGGGTCCGTGTCATCAAAGACTACACATGTACAATTAAATATTCCAAATGGATCATGCAGAAAGTAATAACAAGGGGAATTTAGGAAAGCAGGGACCTGATGAAAATTAGAGTACTCAAAGAAGGTCGAATGGTCCAAGGACATGGAATCAAGCTGGGTGTTGAAGTACTAAAGCATTTCACTATTCGGTACTTTGAAGGCAGACATTCAGTGCTGTCCACATGTCAGACTCTGAGCTAGACCCTGGAAGACACATGACAAATAAGATCAGTGACTTGTTCCTCAGGTGCACAAGGTCTAGTCGAGAAGACAACCCATATGTAGCTATTATACAAGGAGGAAGGCAGGGTAGGAAAAATGAGATTTGGGGAGCTAAATGGATACTGGGAAAACATTCTGGTTGTCAAAAATGTACGTATGCAGGTTTGGAGTAGAGGCAAAGTTTTGGTTAGCACACATGTCATTATGGGCTTATTCATATCTAAGACCCAGAGGCAAAACATAAATCAACAAAATCACATAAAAAATGAATGTGATGCATTCCAGAGCTCATGTGGAGACTCGCTTCAGGCAGATTTATCCATATCATATGAACTAACAATGTGTGTGTTTTTGATTCTCATCTTGTGACTTAATTCTTCCTGTAACTTTATCTTTAGCAAAAGAAGTTCATGAGAAGCAAGTGTGCTACAGATACAGCTTCCTGGCAAGCTCAAAGGCCAGGTGTCCAAAAACCATTGAGATGTTTTGTCACTTTATGAATGCTGCCAATAATTCGGTTCAGAGTCAACCTATGAAGCTCAATCTGGTTCCTGGTAAGAGTATTTCAAATCGCTTCAAAATGTTATGGTCAAGGAGAAAAATCCATGTATATCCATTCACACTCCCATGCCTTCATTCAGTACAGATCTGCTGAGCATCCTCAGTGTGGCAGGCCTTGGGCTAAGTCAGGAGCATTTAAAATACACATGCCATGTTCCCTCATCTCAATGCTAAGAGAAAGATGGACGTGATAAGAAATAGTATCAGATATGATGTGATGCTTACCAAACTTGCAATGTATGGGCAGCCAGAAGAGAAGAGTGTCACTCTGCTGGAGATAGTGGGGGTGGGGGTGGGGGAAAAAAGGAACACAGTTGAGAAATTCTTGCAGGTAAAATCATGGTTTTGCTGTGTCTGGGAAGCTCCGCAGTCCACTGGACAGGTAAGTGTGGATAGTATCTGTGTACCGCAGAGACTGTCCCTTGAAGCTGTGGCAGGGGGAGGCTGTCTCCATTACCAGGCCTGAGACCGAGTTGCATGAGAAGCATGTATCTATAAGGAAGCGGCAACAGTTTTCCCATCCCTGGTCATCGCTTAGTCAATACGCCCTCATAAAATGTTTTCAGGGTAAAAGGTCGTTGATATATGTAGCTGTTCTGTAATAACTCATGCTGAAGAGCTCCTCGCAGTATCAGTAGAGGAACAAGTGGACATTTGATGATCCTAGGCTTCTGCCGCTGGTATCCCTTCCAGGAGTCTTCCCACTAAAGAACCTCTGATCTCAGAAGGATCCCGTGGCCCATTACCCAGCTTGAGTGTCCTGTATAATTTGTGGACATTCTCACATGCATGGCAGCTGGGCCCTAGACATCACAGCAGGAAGCGGTTTAGAGTCCCCTCTCTGAGTCACTGTACCCTATGCGAGGGCTGGCCAGGTCCCCTCCTCCTTCTCCCTCTATATTAGCCCAGGCAGTGACGTGTCTCTGTCACCTGTTTTTTATGCTTCTCCTCTTTCTTGATCCCAAAGCCAGTTTGGCTTCATCTTCCCAGGAAAGTATACTCGCTCATTTTAGAATTTGTATACAATGACTGAGATGCTAACTAAATAAATGCGAAGTAAAAAACCAGGCAAGAGAGTACTGCCCCTTCCTCTGAGGGTCAGGGCTCCCGGGACTCCAAAGACATTGCAACAAATGTCACTTCCCATTCATCATCTTTCAGGGAAACTAGAAGGAACAAATGCTTCAAGAGATTGCCTGGAAGATTCGGACCGTTCCAAAGAACAATGATCACCCCAATCGACTGTCATTGAGTAATCTCTGACTCCTAACAACCCTCTGGGGGAAAGTAGAACTTCCCCCATAGCGTTTGCAAAGTTGCAGTCTTAACAAAAGCAAAGTGTCAAGTCTTTCTCCCACCGGTGGGTCCAAGCCCCTGGGTTTTGGGTTGAGCAGTTAACCACAGTGCCCCCAGGGCGCCTTCACGGGGCCTGCAATTCCTATGACTAATGGGGTCTTTGAGTTAAGATGATGCTCCTGGACATTGGCTGCCCATCGGCATCATCGAGAGATCCTGAAGATGAACTGGTGCCTGCATCTGACCGCTAGAGAGTCATGAGCCCAGACACTAAGGGCAGCAGAGGTGGGGAGGAGGAGCTCAAGAGCTTCTCAGGTGACTAAGTGTCCTTCCTGTTCAGATGGGCACATAATAAACTTGTCATTTTCCATGGTTTTGCTTCTCCATAAAAGAGGAGATTCCCGGGAACTAGGGGTGGGATGAGGCGTGGGGAAAACACATTCTTTTAGGAAAAGCAAGTGCAGATTAAGGAAGTCGAGTCTATGTGGGAAGTAATGAGGGGCTTTGGAAAATCAAGGGTATAATGCAATTTTGGACCCTCAGAAAAAGGTCATTGAAATTAAAGAGGAACAAATGGCTTCAAACATCAAATGTCAAAATTCTACCAATACCGGACCATACATCCACTGGGTTTCCTATTCTTTTTCATTGTTCCCTTATTTCTACGTTTCCATCGCAGCGGAAAACATCACATGCCAAGATCCCAAAATAGGTGCTGGAGGACCTGGAAAAGTCATCCAGAAGCTATGCCAATTCTCAGATGTTCCCAGAAGCCACGGCAATACCATGGGTGGGATCATCACTTACAAATGTGAAGGGTCCCAGTGGAGGGTGAAGAGAAATGACTGCATCTCAGCCTCAATATATAGTCTGCTCCATTTGGCCACGGTGAGCCTTAGACCTTGACTCTGAGCTTTCTGGGGATATCTGTCTGGGTTATCATATTTCTTGGCTTTTAGGAAAAGGGACAGTCAGTATGTTGATATTGCTCTGAAAGTTTCTCTAGCAATAACATCTACTTGCACATTGGTCATCAAGTTGACCTATGTCTTACTGCTTCCCTTCTATGTGTGGCATCATAGGTAGTAGCTCCCTTCAGAAGAACAGGCGCACATAAGCTAAGCAAGTTATTCCAACAGAACCGCGAGATGTAACTGCAAGCACTTGCCCAAAGGGACAGAATGAGCGGTGGGGTCTGATGAGAGGATGAGCCACCTAGGTTTTAACATTGAAAGAGTTCCAAGGGAAGGAGAGCTTTGGAATGACTAGACAAGTAGAATGCAGAAAGGCGAAGGAAGAAGTATTCTAGATAAAGGGGTGCATGGGTTAAAACCTAGAGGTAAACAAGGGCCAACTGTGTTCTGAGTTCTGAGGACAATTAGTAGACCAGTTAGGGTGGGGAAGAAGCTTCATAGAGGCGAGTGGTCAGAAGAGATGATCATTTGAAAGTGAAACCTCTCTTCATCAGGAACCTTTCTCTGATGATCAACTCTGCAATGACCAATTGTATATGAAATTTCAGGACACTCAAATGAGTGAAACACATGCAAAACAGTGTTGCCCTTCCCCGGTGGGCATAAGTAAATTTCTGGACACCAGAGGAGTGGCATGGTAAAGTGATGATGTCATGAACATCATTCTGGTGGACTAGATGAGAGAGAGACTGTATTTGAGGTGTCATAGACCGATCAATAGAACCCGAGGTCTGTACTGATGGCTGTTACACTTCTTTTGGTTTTTCTTTTACTAGTTTTTGACCACAAGCCCGTCTCAGGATGAGAAGCTCCCGGCATATCTGCGTAATCTCTCTGCTAGCACAGGCAAGGTGGAACAAGAAATCAGCGCATCCCCTGGTAATCTGGGCGCAGTTATTAGTATCCTTGATTTGCTCTCAACAGTTCCAACCCAAATGAATTCCGAGATGATGACGGTGAGTTCATCCTTGCAAGAGTTTGGGTCTTGCCTTGTCACTCCGCAGTACTTAAGATCAAGAAGCAGAATTAATTAATCAGCAATGCTGTTCTTTCTCTACCTCTCCTAGTGCCATGCAATGCTTCGCAGGGGTAGCTCCCTCACATAATCACATAACCTGCCCTGCCAGGGATGGCTTTAGGATAGTGGAGCATGTTTCCAAGATTCATTTTGAGATGTGTTGAGTGAATCTCTGCTTTGCTTTCTTCATCAAATAAAATGAATTTTATCTGCCTCCCTGCAGAGCTGGGGATTAAAAAAAAGGTTTTGAAATATGGATAAGGTAATATTTTCAAAGGTCTCAAAGAAACATATGAGCTTTGAAGCAGTCAGGTCCAGGCAGGAAAGAGAACGTACCTGCAGTTGTTTGAAGAAAGAAGGTTTGGATGGATGATATGGAAGAGATACTCATAGAAGTGAACTAGCGTGGAGGAACAAACGAGGGGTGTTGCGGCATCCAGAGACCAGACATTTATGGGAAAGGGCTGCGACAGCCAGGCGAGCACTTCAGTCTGAGTATGGACCGCTGACCCAGAGTTGTATGAGGAGCCTTCAAAAAGCGCTGTGGACAAATGGAGTGAAAAGATAATGGAATGTTCCCACAGACTCTCTAAAGCCCCCTGGTAGTCTTGGCAGAGCAGCTCTTGCCAGAGATGCAGTGAGGAGGCTGGGGATGGGGATGGGTTGTAGGAAAATCTATTCCACTCCCCTATCCTGCCAGGCCTCTCATGGGTGGGACTTAACTAGAGGCCAACTGGTATGCTGGCTGGACAACAAAGCCTAAAGCGGCCCTCGTTACAGAGGACAGAACAAGGAAATGAGGGAAAGAGCAGAAAGGGGAAATGATGGGCCCATGTTTGTAGGAGAAAGAGTCTAATTATTTGACTGAAAAAGATGCCTTTGACAGCACTTGCAGGGCTCATTTGTTGCTCAGGGTCATTTGAGATGACCCCACCCCTGCAGGGAAAATCACATTTGCCAAAAAAGCCTTTGGAGGTTAAGGTATAAAACAATCATCATCATAAAACTATCGATAAATCTATCTTGCAATCTGCTGAAGTGCCCTTCATGAGTGGTAGGTAGTGGTTTCCATGACAGCTATTGCCTAACCATTTAAAGCATCATAGATTTAGGGATCCATCTGCCAGTTTTCTGCCATAAGAGGACAGGTCTCAGAGCGCCCTCTGGTCTGCAGTGCCCCATCCTTCTATTTCCTCTCACCTGGGCCTACTCATCATGATTGATTATCATCCTGATGATGCTACTTGCTTTCCTCTGTTGTGTTGGAAGAGTGTATCAGTTTGACCCTCTGCCCTCTCTACTGTAGCACGTTCTCTCTACGGTGAACGTCATTCTCGGAACGCCTGCCATGAGCACCTGGAAGACGTTACAGCAGCAACAGACCAACGAGAGCTCACGGCTACTGGATTCAGTGGAGAGGTTTTCTCGAGCTTTACAGTCAGGAGATGGCGTCATTTTGCCCTACTGCCAAACCAATGTGCAGATGAGGGGCATGGTGATCAGAAAGGGCCACTCACAAAACTACAAGCAGAGCTTTGTCTTCTCAGACGCAGAGCTCTGGGGCAACGTGGTCATTGATGAGTCCCAGCTGGAAGGCCTGCAGCCAGATGCGTCTATTGTCACCGTGGCTTTCCCAACTCTCAAAACCATTCTTGCTCAGGACATCCAGGCAAACAGTTTTTCAAAGAGCTTAGTGATGACCACCACCGTCAGCTCCCACGTCACCACGCCATTCAGGATTTCCATGGCTTTTAAGAACAATGATCGTTCGAGTGGAGTGCCACGATGTGTCTTCTGGAACTTCAAGCTGGCCAATTACACAGGGGGATGGGACAGTGACGGGTGCTATGTTAACGAAGTAGATGGCGACACTGTCTCCTGTACCTGTGACCACCTGACGTCCTTCTCCATCCTCATGTCCCCTGACTCCCCAGACCCTGGGTCTCTCCTGAAAATCCTACTGGATATCATATCTTATATTGGGCTGGGCTTTTCCATTCTGAGCTTAGCCGCCTGTCTGGTGGTGGAAGCCATGGTGTGGAAATCGGTGACCAAGAACCGGACTTCCTACATGCGCCACATCTGTATCGTGAACATTGCCGCCTCGCTTCTCGTGGCGGACACCTGGTTCATCGTGGCAGCTGCCATTCATGACCATCACTACCCCCTCAACGAAACCGCCTGTGTGGCCGCCACCTTCTTTATTCACTTCTTCTACCTGAGCGTCTTCTTCTGGATGCTGACGCTAGGCCTCATGCTCTTCTACCGGTTGGTTTTCATCCTGCACGACACCAGCAAGTCCATCCAAAAGGCCATTGCTTTCTCTCTGGGCTACGGCTGCCCCCTTGTCATCTCAGTCATCACCGTGGGAGCCACCCAGCCACGGGAAGTCTACACGAGGAAGAATGCCTGTTGGCTCAACTGGGAGGACACCAAGGCCCTGCTGGCTTTCATCATCCCCGCGCTGATCATTGTGGTGGTGAACGTGACCATCACAGCTGTGGTCATCAGCAAGATTCTGAGGCCTTCCATTGGAGACAAGCCAAGTAAGCAGGAGAAGAGCAGCCTGTTTCAGATCAGCAAGAGCATTGGGGTCCTCACGCCACTCTTGGGGCTCACCTGGGGCTTTGGTCTCGCCACCGTGTTCCAGGGTAGCAATGCTGTATTCCACATCGTGTTTACGCTCCTCAATGCCTTCCAGGTGAGTCCTTAGTGCCTGGATTTCAGGAAGTATCTACTCGGGACAAATAACAGTAGCAATGCAAACAGGAGTCGGAATGAGGAAGGAGTTCAGTCCCCAGGAGGCTCCAGCCCTAAAATGCAGTAGAGATAAGAAGGATACATTCCTGGGCTCCCATGGAGGTCCCTACCTTTTATCGACAGCAGTATAACTTCGTCGTATCTGCAGCTTGCTTCTAAATGTCAGGAAGGTTCCTGACCATACAAGCTGGAGGAATGTCTCTTCCCTACCCTGAATTTTGCTATGCATCCCACATTATCTTCGAGCAGTTTATCCCCCAAATAATAATGCTGCTGTTAAAACAAGTAACAAGTGAAACAAATAAGGCTTATATCTTATAACCTTCACAATATAGCTTGATTGGAAGAGACTAATAATCCAATCCCAGTTCCCATCATAACCTTATGAGTGACGCTGTCGAGACCAGTGTGGTTAGAACCATAACTAACAGGATTTCTAGTTCAGGGTGGGGTGAGGAAGATAGGGGAAAATATCTTTATGATATTATAGCATTTGAAGTGTCTTAGCGGGGACCTACTCCATCCTTGTTTAACATTATCATATATGAGACTCAGTCCATAAACCCAAAGGAGGAAAAAGGTAATACCAATGCAATGTCAGGTTAATTAAGGTGCCTAGTTTCTTAATAAAGTTGCCTAAATATACACCATGTGAACAATAGTATATATAATAAACATAGATTTATTATATATCTCACTGCTGTTGAGTCAATTCTCTCAGCGTGTGTATTATATAATGTCATTCAAGCACATCTCTTCCTAATTCTTTACCCAGGGATTATTCATTTTACTGTTTGGATGTCTCTGGGATCAGAAGGTAAGAGCAACACCAATTTCATGCTTGTAGAAATTGATGGTACTCGGGGTGAGTTGAATTGACAATTTGTTCTTTTGAACAATGTAGGTCCAGGAAGCTTTGCTGAATAAGTTTTCACTGTCAAGATGGTCTTCACAGCACTCAAAGGTAAACTTACGCTCTGTGGTGAGTTCCCATTTCGGGTCCCAAGGTAATTCCCTAAAATTGTGCCATCAAGCCCAAACCAAGCCCACTGCCATCAAGATCATTCTTATTCCCTGTGGAACAGAGCAGAGCTGCTTCCGAAGGTTTCCAAGATCGTCGTGGGAACAGACAGCCTCGTCTTCCTTCTGCAGAGTAGCCAGTGGGTTTGACCTACCAACCTTATGATTAGCAGCCCAACATCTAAGCCACTGCACCACAAGGACTCCTGAACAGGGCACAGTAACTCACTGCTATCCAGTTCATTCTGACTCACAGCGACCATACAGGACAGGGTGGAAATGCCCCTATGACTTTTCTAAGACTGGAACTCTTTACAGGAGTAAACAGTCTAATCTTTACAGGAATGGGCAGACTACCAAGTTTCTTCCTAGGGACTTCTGGGTAGATTCAAACCTCTAACTTGCTGGTTAGCAACCAAGCACATTAACCATTTGCACCATCCAGGGATCCCAGAAAGTAAACATCATACTTGAATAGATATTGAATATATTTGAATATGGATTGCCTCTCAGATGTCACAGGTGCTAGAAACATGTAAACCAGGAAAGCATCTGTTTTAAAGTTATTTGCCTAATATTCGTGGTGACATTTGAGCCGCTCCAGGTGGTTCTCCTGCATGATTTGTTTACAGTAGAAATTCAGTTCATCTAGGCCAACTGAGGGAGCAGAATCAGAAGCAGTCATTGACCATTGAACCAAACCCGCTAACCCCAGTCAATCCCAACTCAAATACTCCAATATAGGGTCTCTGAGATTATCAATCTGTCTGAGAGCGGACAGCCTCGTCTTTTCCCAGCAAAGTGGCTGGTGAGTATGAACCACTGGCCTTGCCTTTGGCGGTCCAGCCCTGACCGGAGAGTGCCGCCAGGACAAGCCAGCAGCAAATGATCCCTGCTCTTCGGTCTAACAAATTGCTCTTTGTAATTGCCTTTTTCCCTCTCTTACGTCTAGTCAACTTCCCTCGGTTCATCCACACCTGTATTTTCTATGAGTTCCCCGATATCAAGAAGATTCAACAACTTGTTTGGTAAAACAGGTAAGTGGAGTCACCTAGGTGCCCCTTGGTTGACCATCACAAGCTTGTTCTGATGGCCGGAGTCCTTCACTTCCCACCCCAACTCCACCATACATGCATCCCTCTTGCCATTGACTTCCAGTGACCTCACTGGAGAGGAGGTTAAAGTATAGGAACTTGCACAACTCTTCTACATGACTAGGAGGCTGGTCCAGAGGGCAACTTCCCTGCTATGAGCAACGAGTAACTCCTGAAAAATCCGATCTAGAGAATCTAGACACGCCTTTCAAGAGCTGCCTTTCAAAAGCACCATCCGTCATAAAAATGAGAACCATCCATTGCTGGCCTTATCCAGCACAGAATCCTTGTCTAGCTCAGGTGAAAGTGAAATAGGTAGCTACCATCTCCTGGTCCTGATGCAGCAAAGAACTTCTTTGGAAGATCCTACTCCCGGATCCCATGATGGGGTGGTCCTTTTCCTTTTGGGAGTTGTAGTTGTTCACCTGGAGATTTCCAAAACCGTGGGTGCACCTATGAAGGAGCAGGCTAGATCACTTTTCTTCGAGAAACAGGCACCATTAAAATGCACACCTCAGAAGTGGAAGGTAAGTGGTATCACGAACCTTGGGCAATGGGTGCCAACTGTGCTGGCAAATTGAGATGCCCATCCCATGTCAACATCTCCCTAGAAAAATAAGCGCCAGTGTCCTTTCCAGCTTCTTGGAACCAAGCGGATCTGACAAATGCAGAGTCTAGAAATGTGTTGATCATCCAGGCGAAGACTTTTCCCAGGAGAACTGGCTAGGAGAAGATCGATGGCTTGCTAAGATCCCAAAGAACCTGTTATTTTCCCCTGTCATTCGATACAGGATTCGTGCACGTGGGGTGAGGGGATCCCCGCACTCGAACAGGTCCTCGGGAGCGACTTTGTGATTATGGAACATAATAAAGGCAGATAGACAAAGCAGGGGACGGAGGCTCCTTGTCCTTTGTCAGGGTCAGGAGAGTGAATGTCTTTTCCAATGGGTTTATATCATGGGGCTTACAGATCTTTCATAAGGCATGCACGTTGTCTAGCAAACGGAGCACATAGGTGACATAACAAACAAGCAATGAAATGAAGCACCATCTTGACCTAGTGCTAGATGACTTCCAATGCCCCTGAGCCCTCCCCAGGGGAGCAATCTGTCAGAAGAGTTTGCTGCATTTTACAGTGGGTTGGACTATAGAACCTGATTGCGCTTATCTACAGATAACCTCCAGGCACAGGGACTAGCAGCCGCTGCAGGAATGATGCATTTTATATGGTAGCTCCTTTATGACCGCTCCTTTCTGGGGGGGTTATTGGAGGGACTGTGTTCAGTCGCGGCAATGCATTTTGAGATTTATTTAGATCTCATAACCGTGAGGGTCTTCCCCAACCGGAGTTGGCTTTCCAGAGCCGTGGTTATGAGCAGTGGGGACTGAAGCTGCCGCACGTTCTCAAACAGTCCCGCAGTTGACCACACGTGAAGCTGCCAGACCTTCCTCACATGTCACTTGGAAAGTCACCCGCTCTACCTGTTGTCCAAGACTCAGGTAGTCGGGACGTGGCAAGACCACCTTACTCTTTGCCAGCTGACACACGCCATGGGCATCCGGTGAGGAAAGCAAAAACTCTATGGAATCCTTAACGAGGCTCAGAACCAGGCGGTAGGGAAGGCTGCACCAACGCGCCCCTGGCTTGTGTATCAGCCGGAGAGCTGCTGGAGCGGGGCTGTTTCTGGAATCAGCTGGGTGTTGGAGTCGGAGACACCTGGTCATCATCACTTGCCATCACTTTGCGAGGGTCACTGACGCAGTCGCGACTCCAGCCCGTTGGAGGGGTCCGCAGTCCCTGTAACTCTGGTTTATGTTGTTGGCAGCCCCAAAGACTCCTCCCAGGCAATGACGGAAACCTTGTTAGCTGTGGCAGTTCCCGAATCTGATGGTAGGGTGGGCACTGTGTCTCTCTCCTTCTCCCCCCACACGCCCTCTTCTCTCCCGACACTGAGCACCCTGACGCCCTTGCCATGGTGCTGACGTCTTTCCCCGATGTGGTCCAGAGCCTGCCCTCCCTGCTCCACTGGCTCCCGGCACTTTGGATGGTGTCTCTTGATTTCTGCTTCTTTTCTGGACATACTGTTTCTTCCCCTGTGACGTTTTCCCCTTCACTCGATCCCTCTTCACAAGCTCAGACCTTTCAGCTTGGCTTTCAGAGCCCTTCCAAGGGCTTTCCCAAGTCACTCCACCCCAGGAGACCCAGGAGGTCCCTAGCCCCTGCATGCGGTGGTGTGTAGAGTAGCTGGTCACATGAAGCTCTTCCTTCGTAGGCATCTGGCTGCTGGTCTGATGGGAAGTAGCTAGTGCTTGCCGGCTGCAATGCTGCTGCCTTGTTTGTTCCCTGGCACCTCTGGGTACTGGGAGGAGGGCCAGCATGAGTGGATTCCCAGGTTTGGCCGAGCTTACCCGACTCCTGCAGCAGAACTCCACAGTAGACCGTGAGGTGATGTTCACACCCCGGCGGTCCCCAGGGTCTGTCTCTAAGGCTGGGCCGCTGCTCTGTTTTGCAGGAACATACAACGTGTCTACCCCGGAAACGACCAGTTCTTCCATGGAAAACTCATCCAGTGCTTACTCCTTGCTCAACTAGGAACAGGAGAATCCAACCCATGTGACCTCCCGAACTCAGTGGATGTGCTCAGAAAGAAGGGATCCTGTCTCAGCGAGGGGTAAACGGTGCGCTCCGCAGCCCGCGGGAAGCAGCCCCTGTAAAGACTTTATCCCCGCAGGGCGGCGAGGCTTCGTTTTGTAAAGACGACGACGAAACGCGGATGTTTAATGTTGCGTCCCTCCCTCTCCGTGATGCCAAATGTGTGTATAGTATTTAAGTGGAGTCGCGTTCCCCCGAGGCCCAGCTTCTCGTCTATACTGTAGAACAGGGTTCGGAAGAGGTGTTTTCACGTTTCACACACTGAGCATAAAGAGAAGTGTTGATTCATGTAATCAGGAAAAAGGTAATGCCTGCGATGCTTCAATGAATTCTTTTTAGGGAGGGAAAAAGACAGAAGGGAGGGAGGGAGAGGGCGAGGGAAGTCAGAGAAGAGAGAAGGAAGGGAGGAAGGAGGGAGGGAAAGAAGCAAGGGATGACTGGAATGTGGGAAAACAAAGAAAAGATCACGGATAAACATTAACGGCCAGATGTTGATGTCCATGAGAATAATCTCATAGAACTGCGTAGATGCTGTAATGTTAGGAATAGAAAACGGCTCAGACGGAAACTAGAAGGCCCAGGGTGTGGAAATTGATGTTTTCACAGTCAAAGAGAAAAAAATAAAAGGCAGTAGAGCAAATTAAAAGGACTCCGCCGGATCAGGGTGCTTCCCATGGTTAATGTTGACAAGACATCCGTGGAAGGAAAGGGGGTCACTTGAGGTTGCACATCTGCAGCCCTTCATCTGTTAGTTAAGGTGTGAGCTGAGTGGAAGGAATCTGCAGAGATAATCACGTCGAGAGACCTTATTAGACCCAAGTAGAAGCAGACTGCTGATTAAATTTCCAATAACCAGTCAGCCATTTGCCGCTAAATTGGCCCCAACTCATGGCGACCCCATGTGGGTCAGAATGGAATTGCCCCTGCTCTCCCCGCCCCCTCCTATATTTAATGGCTTTAACCAGGTACTTCTCTGTGCATTGTAGAATAGATTTTAATGATCTGACAGCACTGTATATTGTTGATGTTCCTGTTATTGTGACTGTGGATTGAAGGCTCCGTGATGTGTTGTATAGCTCAACTCTGTATCACTTCTTTCGGTCCGTCCGTAAGTGCCAGGCCAATATACAGTAAGATTTTTGTACAGTCTCATTTGTGTTTATTCCAACCACTTAGTACGCTCCCAGAGAGAAGTTGTACGGCTGATGAATCTCTGTGCCAAGTGACCCTGGGACTTCTGAACAGATCATGGACCTTTCCCCCAAGAGTTGGTTGTTTGTGGGGTGTGTGTGTGCATGGCTCTGAATACACAATTATCTATTATCGCGGCATCCATAAGGCTAAACCAAGTGCGATAATAGATACGGCCACTGTCCATTCCAAAGCAAAGTCATCTCAATAGGAAACAGACAAGACAAATTGTGGGCTCTAGGTGGGGGCCCTCGGGGATGGGTCGTGGTCATGAGTACTGAGAACCCAAAACGGGGCCACCTACAAGAAGATAGGACCAAAGATGCGACATTGCACAAGCACGTATTGAGGTTCGAAGAATTTTCCTTTAATATATGAATTCTTTAAAACAGTCTCCCTTGTAGTTTTTTATTTGACATTATATTTCTTCTTCTTGTTTATCCCCAGGAGAAAGGGACGGGGTATCATGTGGGCTCAGAGCCCTAACAATGGCTAAAGTAGATGAACTTACTTCTACACATTTGTGAAATAAAAGAGACGTTTATTCCCGAATCTAGGAATTGTCACATTATTTTCCCAGTTGAATGGTTCCTTATGGAAAGTGCCTCAATGCAGACCAAGGTCACCAGGGGATGGTCAACTTTGGTCAGAAGTTCAGTGCCAAGAAAACAGAGCTAGAGAGTTAGTTAGGAGACAGCCGAACTGGAATTCGATTTTAGAGAAACGTGGCTGCTTGACATGGAATTGAATTTGGTTTCTGGATTCAACAAGGAGAACAGAGCCAGGGTTCTAAAGCAGTGTTTTAGAATAGTGTTCATCTGGCAATTTGGACAGAATTAGTCAAGGGGAACCTGAGAGGAGGAAGTGGTTCTATGTTGACTAACTCAAAGGAACAAGACCTGCTAAACTGCCTCTGACCCCACTCCCTTAGGGATCGTTGTGGTTACTGTTGGAAATGGGAATCTCCGCCAAGTGAAAATTCCATAGGCTGTAGACCTGGATCTCTGCCCACATTCGTTCCCCAAGGCACGCTGGCTATCCAGACCACATGTTTGCATGCATGCCTCGCGTGAGCACACACACACAC